ATGTCTTTGCATGTGTTTGTTGCAATTGATTTCTAGTTTCTTGCCATTGTGATCTGAGAAGATACTTGGTATGATTTCAGTCTTCTTGAACTTGTAGAGAATTAGTTTGTGTCCTATCATCTGGTCTGTCTTTTTTTATTTTACTTCTTATATCAGAATAATTGAGTAAAGATGGAGATATGCTTATCTTTGCTTTTTTGTTTAGCATCTAACTTGAGTAACAAGTTTAACTGAACATTAGGATTGTTTCTATAATCAGTGTCTTAGGGGGACCAGGAGACTAACAGTGGTTTTTTTCATTAAAAATTTTTTTCAATTACAGTTGATATACAATATTATATTAGTTTTAGGTATACAACATAGTGTTTAGACATTTATATAACTTCTGAAGTGATCACCCCAGTAAATCTAGTAACTATAATTTTTTTGGTGGTGAATATTTCAAGTTTTTTTTTATTTTGTTGATGTAATAACTTAATTGATAGTTTCTATAAATTGAAATTCAGATTGATTATATAGTACTTTTGTAGAAAAATAAGCGAGCTTATTTTTTAGAAAGGAAAAGTGAAAAATTTTGCCCACCATTCGTAGTTGAAATTACCAAAGTAGTTTAATTGTGATTTTTTAAAACAATTTTTAACAGAACTTTTTATTTTGTAGATTCATATGCATTTGTAAGAAATAATACACAGAGATCCTATATATTCTTTACCCAATTTTTTACTGTGTAACTTCTCTTTTAAAACTGTATACAGTGTCACAACCAGAATATCAACATGGGTACAATCTGCCAGTCTTAGTTATATTTGTGATTTAACATAGCAGTTAGTTTTTAGCATGGATACTTAATATCTAGTGAATGTAATGAACACAGTCCAATTTATTTTTGCATATTGCTGCAGTAAGTACTTAATATTCTATTGATTTGACTTTTTCCCCCTTTCACACTTAAACCATTGAAATAGTATTTACATGAATTACTTCACATTACAAAAAACTAAAGTATAAAATAATTCTGTATGATTTCTTTGTTGAAAAATATTCATTGGTGAAACCAAAACAGGAATGTTTATTATTATTGTGCCTTGAACTGAAAAGTGTTGAAAGAAATTAAGAATTAAACCTATCAAGGTACTTTGTGGAACAAAAGTGTTTATATGCTGTGCCCATGTACTGCATGTGGATATTATCCTGTCTTATTTATGGAAATTTACCTGTTTGGCCTCCAGGTGTTAAAATTCTCCAAATTGCCAGGCTAATAGAGGGCTTTCAGTTTTTATTATTATTATTATTATTTTTTTTTCTTTATTGATTTCAGAGGGAAAGGAAAGGAGAAGGAGAGAGAGTGATAGAAACATCGATGAGAGAGAACATCGTTTGGTCGCCTCCTGCATGGCCCCCACTGGGGATTTGGCCCATAACCTGGGCATGTGCCCTCCCGGGGAATCAAACCGGTGACCTTTTGGTGCATGGGTCGATGCTCAACCACTGAGCCACACTGGCTGGGCTCAGTTTTTATGAATATTGAATAAAAATTAGTTCTCATCTGGAAAGAAAAGTCTTTCATGAGATTTTTTACTTTTAAGCATCTCTCCTTACTTAATACACAAATTAAATGGAGGTGATGTTATTTACTTAAAAGCCTGATGATTAAGAAACTGCTTTTCCCAAAATTGTATGTATCCCAGTAAAGCTTTTTGAATTGTGTAGCATTTACTGTTTTTACATTTCTTAAGTTTTAACAAACTAATTTGACCATTGTAGAGGCTCATCCCTGGTTTTCTTTCTATCTCCGTTTCTCCAGCTAGTCTCTTCCTCTGGCCGCTAGACTTTTTCTTTTGGATCATCACCAAATATTTTAAAATTAACAAGTGCAACACAGAACTCATTGTCCACCCTCCACTCCCATCTTTTCACTGGATTATACACATCTTGAGTGCAGAGACTGTTTTCTTTTTTCCCCATTAGCTCATGTGAATGAATAAATGAATAGTTCTAAAGCCAAATGTCTGAGAGACAGACTTGATTCCTCTTCCCATCACTGATCCATCTGGTTCATTCCCAAGTCCCGTCAATATTGCTCCTTAGTTCTGACAGAGTGGGAGGGAGAGAGGGAGAGAGAAACGTTGACGTGAAAGGGACACATCAAGTGGCTGCCACCCGCACGACCAACCAGGGCCAGGGCAAACCGCAACTGAGGTACACACCCCTAGTGGGAACCGAACCCAGGTCTCTCTGGACCGCAGGCCGACACTCAAACCACTGAGCCAAACCGGCTAGGACTGGGCTTCTACCCTTTTCTATCTAGATTACTTCAGCTCCATTCTTGTGGACCCCTTGTCTCAAGTCTTGAACACTCTGTCTGTTCTCCACTCGACACTCAGAAAGCTTGTTCTGAAAACTCCGTATCCTGGCTTCCTGCTCCTAGCAGGACTTGCAGTTTTTGTACATGTGATCATAAGACTTTAGACAGTCTCATTTCTGGGGTGGTGCAACATGAATTTGGGTGCTAGGATGAGATATTATGGCTTTGGAAACACCTCTGCCAATTACTAATTATGATTAGAGCAAATCAAATCAGTTAACCTCTCTGTTCCCAGTTTCTTTTCCCTTTAAAACAGGGCTGATGCTCAAATCAATAATATATGCAGAGGTACTGATAGAGTTCCCAGCACATGTGAATGAGCTACACTATGTTACCTATGTTCTATCCCACTGTTGTCTTCTTATCTTATTACCGTAAGTTAGGTAAGTTAGGTATACCACAATTCCTGATTTGGACAACCTTCCCCTGTAAGCCTAATGCTGTAAATGTTTGTTCAGGACAAAGTAAAATTGAGAATTTCTAGTTCTCATGCTGTTAATGATGGTTGCTATAATAACTTTCTGGACTTTCACATTTACAAAAGTGAGAGCACTGGACCAGATGATCTCTATACTTATTCTTCCCTCACATTTATGACACATAATTAAGGAAAAATGACATAAGTAACGAAATTGGAAAAACAAACCCCAGTAATTCCAGTATCCCAGTTTACTAACTGATCATGTTTTGTTTCCTTCAAGTCTTTGTTTTTTTAATCTTTGAATATTTTTAGTACTTACTAATCTAGTTTGTTTTCTGCTTTATTCCAAATACATTCAACTTTTCATTAACCCATGCACCAAGAGGTTGTCGGTTCGATTCCATTCAGGGTGCATGCCCAGGTTGTGGGCCAAATACCCAGCAGAGGGCATGCAGGAGGCAGCCAATCGATGTTTTCTCTCATTGATGTTTCTCTCTCTCTCTCCCTCTCCCTTTCTCTCTCTAAAATCAATTAAAAAAAAGACTGGCCGGTGTGGTTCAGTGGTTGTGCATCAACCCTTGCACCAAATACATTCAACTTTTCCGTGCTACTGCAATGCCTTAATGAACTTAATGGTGCACACTATTCTGAGTGTGCTATGAAGTTATGGGCCTTCATTTACTTAGTCATTTTTCTCTTTTTAAACATTTACATATTATTTTTCAGCTTTAACTTCTGTTCTCTAGATTGCTGGACTTACAGGAAATTCACAATTACCTAAAATAGTACAGAAGTAAAAACTAGGTAACTATTTATAGTCCCACAGCTGGCAAACATTTATGACACTGCATACTTATTAGCCAAATCAGGAAATGGTTGCCCACAGTACTGTTGCTCTGAATTATAATCTCCTGGGCTAGGATCAGATGTTAGTGCTTTTGAAAAAGCTCTAAGTGTAGAAGGTCAGGTTGAGATCTGCTGAATTTAAATTAAAATTTAATCACGAGTTGCTGGCTTTCTTGAACTGATAAATTATAAAACTCTTAGTAATGACCTTAATTTTTTTATTACACCCAATACATTTTTTTAAATCCTTGTTTAAAGATATTTTTTTCCATTGATTTTTAGATAGAATGGAAGGGAGGGAGGGAGAGAGAGAAATATTGATGTGAGGGAGACACCTGCATGACCCCAGCCAGGGTGGGGAATCAAAACTGCAACCCAGGTAGGTATATGCCCTTGACCAGGAATTAAACCCACGACCCCTGGCTGAGCCAAACTGGTAAGGGCTACATTGCTATTTTAAAGAAAAGCTCTCTACCACCACAATCCCTCTTGTGTTCTCTCAATGTCCTCAAATCTCCTAGCCTGACTACTAAGGTAGGTTTATGTGTGTACTCCAGGGCTTTATGTGCCTATGTACCAGCAACAACTTTTAAACATCCTAATAGTCACCAAGTATGTATTTAATGTCATTTAAAGTTTAAAGGGAAGTTTGAAGTATGTATATCACTTATATGTCAAATCAGAAAAGAACAAACTCATAGAAACAGAGTAGAGTGGTGGTTACCAGGGGTTTGGAGGTGAGGAAATGGGGAGATGTCGCTCAAAGGGTACGACTTCCAGTTATAAGATTAACAAGTTTGGGGATCTAATTTATAGCATGGTGCTTATAGCTATCAATACTTTATCATGTACTTGAATGATGCTAAGAGAGTAGATCTTACAGTTTCTCACCACACACACAAGAAATGGTAACTGTGAGGGATAGAGGCTAATACTGTGGTGGTCATGTTGCAGTGTCTAAATGTATCCATTCAATACACTCTGTACCTTAAACGTGCACAATGTTAAGTGTCAGTTATATCTCAATAAAGCTGAAAAAATGATTGTAAACAAATGATGGTAAGTTTGTAGAATAACTTTTTGACTAGGATCTAAATGTATAATAACTAAAAATAAAAAATATAAAGTAAATGTCTATGATAAAATACTACCCTCTATAATTTCTCTACATACTTGTTTATACTGAATTATGTAGCCTAAAGTTACTTTCTCACTGTTTTTCTAAAGTGATATTTATGTTTTATTTATTATATACTGAGTAGTATTTAAACACTTTTTTTATAGGCCTGTTAGCTGTATATATGTTTTAAAAGTGGATACTTGCCAACAACCTCATTCCTTCTAACAAATATAACTTTTTTTTCTTAGCAAGGTCAGCATTGGACACCGCAGCACGTTGTAAGTATTTCAGGCCAATAATTTGCAGATGGTGTATTCTATTGTTTTCTTAGGCATATGAGAACTTATATTTGAACAATGGAGATAGTTCAATGAAAGCAAAAACTGATTTAGAAATTGTTTTCTAAAGTTATAAGGATACTATTTGATTGGACAGCCTAATATTCTTAGTATTTACTCATAATGAATATTTTCTTTCATTATTGTTTTTAGCTTCAGTAGCATAAGTACAGAAAGTGTATAAAAGGAGAACTAGTACATGAGCAGGTTGTTCAGTAATGCTTTATTTTATTTTATTTTTATCCTCACCCGAGGACATTTTTCAATATTTTGTTCAGATAGAGTGGGGGTAGGGGGAGAGAGAGAGAGAAACATCAATGTGAGAGAGTCACATTGATTGGTTGCCTCCCACACGACCCCAGCCAGGGCTGGGAACTGAAGCACAACTGAGATATGAGGTACATGCCCTTGACCTGAATCAAACCCGTGACTCTTGGTCTGTGGGCTGATGTTCTCACCACTGAGCCAAATTGGCCAGGGCAGTTATTTATTTTTTTATAAATATGTGTTTATTGACTTTTTAGAGAGAGAGGAAGGGAGAGAGAGAGAGAAACATAGATGTGAGAGAGAAACATTTATCGGCTGTCTCCTGCACGCCCCCTACTGGGGATCAAGCCCAAAATCCTGAACGGGAATCTTACCAGGACCTCTGAGTCCATGGGATGATGCTCAATCCGCTGAGCCACACGGGTAGGGGTGTGTTAGGCTTTTTAGTTTGTAATCATTTGTTGTACATTTACACACTGGAAATTCAAAGCAACAATTCAAAACCTACCCGCAACCCCCATCCTGAATTTAAAATATAAACTTAAAAATAATCATATTATTTGATTCATTTATATCTATTATTAACTTGTTTTCTTAGTGCTTTTGTTGTTTGTTTTGTTTTGTTTGTTTTGTTTTGTTTTGTTTTGAGGCTCTTTGAAACCCCAGGGGGAAAAAACTCCCAGCATGTATTTTAAGATACATATAAATTAGTGATTTATATAATTCCTCTGTGATTTGAGATTTGAAACAAACTGATTATAGAGTCTGTTAACATTGTTTTCTTTTAAAAATGTATTTTTGTTTTCCAAAGCTACAAAACCTCCCAGATACAAATGTGGGATCTCAAAAGCTTGCCCTGAGAAGCATTTTGCTTTTAAAATGGCAAGTGGAGCAGCCAATGTGGTGGGACCCAAAATCTGCCTGGAGGACAATGTGTAAGTGTTTATCCATTTGGAAGTATAAGATGTGCTATAAAATTATAGTAATTGAACCTGAGTTTAATGGATCTTTTGAAAATTTATTGGGCATGCTTTTACTAAAGAAAAGTGATTTCAATTTTTATTGCACACTGTTTTCCCCATGCCTTTAAGGAATCTTAGAAGTTCTTAAATTTCATATTAGAGAGTGACATAAGAACACTTATTCAGTTTTGTGAAGAGAGGAGGGGTTTCCTGAGTGATTTCTTTAGACCTGTGCTGTCCCATGTTAGAGCCATAGACCCATGGAACTATTTAATTTTGATTCTTAAGTCATGTGCGAAAGTTAATTCATTTAAATTAATTGAAATGAAAAGTTTAGTTTGTTAGTCACTGGCCACACTTGAAGTGCTCAGTAACCCCACAAGGCCAGTGCCTGCAGATTTGAGCAGCATTGAGAATATTTCCATCAGTGCAAAGTCCTCTTTCAGCATTTTCCAACCATTTTCACCTCATGGCACACATAAACTACTAAAATTCTGCAGCACACCAAAAAATATATTACATATTTTGCTCATCTTCCCAAAAAATAGGTATAATTTTGATTCATTCATACCAGACAGCTATTGAGTTGGCTGTGTCATTTTTCATTTTGACAATATAAGGGAAAAGAAGTCAGTACCCTGACTAAATGGTCAGATATTGCATGTTTTAAACATTCTTGCAGCACACCTGTTGAAAACTGCTGTCCCTTTGATAGCAGTATCTTCGGTAATGAACACTTATAAACCAGCACCTTTCATTTTAAATGTTTTAATGCTGTTTCTTGAAGTGAAATAATCTGGTTATAACCATGATGCCACAGAGCGGTTTGCCACTGAGCTAACTGGTTCCCTGTATTGAGATGCTCTACAAAGTATTGTTTTTAGATTTTTCAATCTCCTGCCTTAGTGTGAACTGTCACTTGGTGAAGTTCCTGCCTCTTAAGTCACAAAACCTGCTTTTAGTTGGCTGCTTTTAATCTGCTCTAGCCTAGAAAATTAGATATTTGAGCTTATTTCAACTTCATGTAAAGTAATAAACATGCCATTAATTATGAGAATAAAGAGTGAGGTAATTTTACAGGCAGAGGAGAAGAAACTAAGCCATTTCTCCCAGAATTTAATATGCCTTTTTAATAGAGAAGCTTATAAATATTAATCTTAGCCCCTTTTTCAATTAGCTATGGGTAGGTCCTATAGCCTCTTATAATTACACTTTCCTTATGATATTAAAGGCTTGAGCTGTGTAATCTTTAAGGTCCTGACTCATATGTTTTCTTTTACCTCATGCTGATGATAATCCATGGCTAATTTGTTGTCTTCTGAGTTCTCATTATAATAGTCCTGTTTTACTGAATTATGTAAAAAAAAAAAAAAAAAAAAAAAACATACTTGGATTTCAGTTTGTAGATCTTACATTAAATAATACCCTCCTATTAACTTAGAATGTTCCAATTTCATATCTTTTTTTTCCCTATCTCAGTTTATTTGTCTAGAGAGGCCCCAAGTTTAATTCTAAATAATAGGAAGAAAGTTCATGCCTCGCATGTTGTAGATTGTCTTTGGAGATCTCCTCTACCCGCTTGTATGTAAGTTTTAATGCGAAGAAGAAGAGGCAAACACTTTACTAGCAGGTTTTCTATGTACAGATTATATAGGTCAAGAAGAAAAAAGAATATGTAGGCAGTAGAGTCTGATAAACTAAGTACTGGGCTCAGCCAGGGAGTTTGGCCCTAGTGTGGTGTAGAATATGTGTTTCAGTTTCTCTAACTGTAAAATGGAGGCAGGCCACCTATTCACCCTCATTGCAGGAATCATCCCGAAGTCCCGTGACAGATTAAATAATTCATGTGATTTTACAGCAAGGCCTTGGGGCCTTGGGTCATGAAATTGAATCCCTGGTAAATGGCTAGCCAGACATCCCCAGTGGTGAAACTGCAGGACCAATATTTCTTCCAGTACCTTCTGTTTCCGGACTGAAAGTTTTGCCATCAAAAAGATTAAAGAAAGAGTCTGAGTTTTCTTAGCATGATTCATTCACTTATTCATTAAGTGATCCTTGAGCATTGCCCCTGCTGTCAGGGAACTTAAGCTGGTAGGGATGACCTGTGCTTAAGCAGGACATGCAGATGCATCACCGGTGTGCAGAGTTGCAGGTGTGCCAGTAGGAGTCAGGGTGACTGAGATGAGGCTGAGGTGTCCAACTTTACATTGAGTGATTCAAGGAACAGTTTTCTCCACCATAGGGATGTTTAGACTGAAAACTGAAGGGTAAGAAGAAAGACAGCCAGGTGAAAAGTGGGGAAAGGACATTCTAAACAGAAGGAAGAACATGCTTAAAGGCCGTGAATGCTAAATGGGAAAGAGCTGGAGAAAAGTAAATAAGGTCCAGGCCAGAGGTGAAAAGATTAAGAAGTATAAACTTGTAGTTACAAAATAGTACAAGGATGTAAGGAAAACATAGGAAATATAGTCAGTACTGTACTATGTATGGTACCAGTTGGGTGTTGGAGATATCAAGGGGAACACTATGTAAAATATATGATTGTCTCCCTGCTGGTGTGGCTCAGTTGGTTGGGCATTGTCCCGTGTACTGACAAGTTGCTGGTTTGATTCCTGGTCAGGGCACATGCCCCGGTTTCGGGCTTGATTCCCTGTAGGTGTCGTGCAGTAGGCAACCGATCCATTTTTGTTCTCACATTGATGTTTCTCTCTCTCTAAAAATAAAATAAATCAATGAAAACAATCTCTTTAAAAAAAGGTATATTATTGTCTAACCATTAAGCTATACACCTTAATCCAGCAGTTTTTAACTGGTGTGCCACGAGAATTTTTAAAACATGCAATGCCTGACTATTTAGTCAGGGGCACTGACCACTTTTTCCTTAGATTGTCAAATTTAAAAAAATGTCAACAGCCAACACAAAAATAGCCATCTGGTATAAATGTTCTGTATCCTGTCTTAAACCATAAATATATATATATATTTATCATATAATAGAGTTGCAACTTATTGGTAAGGTTGCATAATAAGTTTCTGTCTAATTGGTTAATTCTTGGTAGTAGAAATCCTTATATACAAGTATAGGCACCTGATTTTTTTTAAAGTCACTTTGGAGCAAAAAGGGTAGGTAATTACTATTACTATTATTTATTTATTTTTGTAAATCAGTCAAAATTATACCTATTATTTTTGTTACATTGGCAAAAAAATATATTTTTTGGTGTGCTGCAGAATTTTAGTAATTAGTTTATGTTTGCCCTGACATGAAAAATGTTGAAAATGGCTGCCTTAAACCAACACAAAATAAAATTGAAAGGGAAAAAAAAAGAGCCAGGCCCATAGGAACCTAGGCCAGGCAGGTAAGAGGTTTTGCGATATTTTTCTGAGTGCTTTAAGAAGTTGTTGATGGTTTTCAAATTCTGGCATGTCACAATTTCGTTTTTATTGAAAAAGTAAATGCCATTACTGCTGTGCAGAGTGACTGAAGAAGTGGAGTGGGAAGCAGTTGGAAGGCCATGGCCCCGTGCTGCCACAGTTCTTTGACACTCCACCCACACCGCCGCCCATTGGCCCCAGACTTGGCATGTACACTCACTAAAATAAGCCAGTAGATGTTAAAAAGTACATAAGTAGACATTTCAGTATTTTCCTACATGTGTTCTGAGTACATGCAACTCACTTTGGAGACTATTAGTCCAGATCTGTGCTTCTTAGTAGGGGTGACTTTGCTCCCCAGAAAACATTTGTCAAGATCAGGAGACATTTTGGGTTTTCATAGCTGTGGTGGTGCTATTTGGAGGGAGGGGCCAGGGATGCTCCCTCTTAAACATCCTGCATTGCACAGCACAACCCCTCCACAAGAATTATCAAGCCCATAATATCACAGGCCAGGTTTGAGAGAAGCCCTAATACAGCCAGAAGACGAGCAATAATTATGATTAGGGTTGTGGTCATGGTATTAAGGATAAGTAGATGTAGTCGCGATGATGGATTTCATTAGTTAGAAATACAAAATCCTGGCTATAAACATAAAATGTCTCACAACAAAATTATAGCTTCATTTTCTTTTGTGTTACAAAACCCATAGAATTTACTTGAGTTCAAGATATAGTTTTAATTGTAGACATATACTCATTTGATTTCAGTTTATATGAAGTTGATATTAGGAATAATACTTCACTTTTTATTATGTAATCTTAATATTTAATATAGGAATGAATGTATAGCAGACTGTTTTGAGGGATTTTTTTTTTCATCAAGGGGTCAGAGAGTATTGTTGTAAGGGCCAAGAAGTAAAATTAAGAATATTATACAAGTACCTATATAATTTTAAAAAAATATAACCATTTAAAAATGTAAACATTTAAAACTCATGAGTAGTAAAACAAAATAAAACAAAAAAACTCAGCCAGTAGCTAGATCTGTCCCAATATGCTGCAATTTGTTAAACCTTGTTCTAAACTAATCATTTTAAGAAGTAGTATTGAATCAAAACTATATTAGAAGATGTAGACTCTATAGATATGATTATATGATCATTTTCTTTAGATTTTTGCCTAGAGATATGGAATGGTAGGGGAGTGGGGAACCTTCATATTCATGAACGATAAAAGAAAATATTTCAACTTGTGTTAGTAAGAGTGACGACTAACCTTTATAGACTTAAAATCTTCACTGGCAGCTTTCCCTGTTGAATACCTTTTCAAAAATTGTTAAGCTGCTGCCCTCTTGTGGGAAACCTATGTCATAGCGCTTCTTGGATGATCTCTACTTGGAAAAGATATTTTTATTAATTATTAATGTAACAAGTTAATCACAGATATTGCCTATTAATATTAATAATAGAATTTTCTTATGTATTTCTGAAAGGAGCAGAGCAAATTCATTTTGAAACTTCCCTTCTCTTTTGTGTAGCAGATGTGGCCCACCACAGAACTAGTCTTGCACACACATAACAAAGTTCTACACTTAACTACATGCAAATTTTAGAAAATGACAAGTGAAATTTTGTAGGTAGATATGCAACCAGTATGGATAGATAGTTGAATTCTACTAATTTTTATTTAATAAGTTTTTATTGATTTTTTAGAGGGAGGGGAAGGGGGAGAGAGGTAGAAACATGGATGTGAGAGAGAAACATTGATCCACTGCTTCCTGCACTCCCCCTACTGGAGATCAAGCCCACAACTTGGGCATGTGCCCTGACTGGGAATCGAACTGGGACCTCTCAGTCCATGGGAGGATTCTCAATCCACTGAGCCACACCGGCTGGGCAGGGCTACTAAGCTTTTAAAAATCAAAATTGTATACTTTTCTGTTTCTTAATGGACATTGGAGTAGAGTATTTTTTTTTTAACTATTTGTTTCAAAATAATTATAGAAATCATAGGCAGCTGCAGAAATGGTGCAGAAAGGTCCAGTGTACTCTTTACCCAGTCTCCCCAGTGGTCCTTTCTTATGTAATTATAGTACAATATGCACCGGAAATTATCATTGGTACAATGTGTATGTTTAGTTCTGCATCATTTTATTGTATGTGTAGATTCATGTAACCAACACAGCAATTAAGATACAGAATTATTTCATCATCACAAAGATCTCTTTCTTACTACCCTGTTGTAAGTCACTCCTTCCATCACTGAACCCTGGCGATCACTAATCTATTTATCATTTCTTATTGTGATCTTTTGAAAATGTTAGAACTGCACTCATTCATCATTTGCAGCCACATGTTAACTACAGATATGAAGTCTATGAAAATCAGCTAGCACATTCGGTGAGAATCAATTGGCTATGTGGAATTTACAATAAAGTGTTATAGATTTTGTTACTTGCAAAATTATATGCCAACATAATTTTTATCAATAAAATTTGTAATAAATGTATGTACCTATATATGTTTATAAAAATATAAATATCTGGATACGTGTGTGTGTGTGTGCTTTTATACTTATATACTCCCCTTCACCCTAACCTCAAACTAATTGTTAAATATTGAACAGCACATCATAGAAATATTACTATTACATTTGATTTTAAAATTAAAATTACCCATGATTTAGTTTAATAATTCTAATTGAACAAACTGAACTGATAAGAAGCAGATGTTCCATTGGTTCCTTCCAGGACACAGCATCATTGTCTTTGAGCTGCCGGGGGGGCGATTCCCTCAAGTGTGACTAAGTGACTAGTTAGATGCAGTCATTATATGAAACTATAGTGTTACTTCTGAGCATAGAGAAACTTTATGCTGATAATCACTAAGAGCATGTTCATAGTTAGGTGAAACACTCATGAAAGAGTGCTCCTCATTCTTCTTGCTCTCAGACTGGGAAACATTTGGGGAGCATTTCACTTCTGTTCTCATGTCACGTCTGATACTGCAGAAAGGGCAAAAGAATGGTGTAGAATATGTGCATAATGTCCACATGTTGTAAGGTGTTCTAACATGGTATTTCATCATCTGATCAGAGCAGCGAGAAATAGTATTTTGCCCTAATACTTGTCAATATATATTTCTATTTGTGAAATCTTATTTAAGGATATTGCTTTAAAGGTATGGGCTGTTTTCTCTGACTTAGTAGAGAACTTTTAATCTCCTCTGCAGGACTAAATACATGTACATATATAATATCCCCAATCTTTTTTTTCTTGGCATGATTTTGTTTCTTTGATATATGTTTGTACAATATATAATTCTTAATTTGTCTTGATTTTTTTTCCCCTTCAGTTTAATGAGTGGTGTTAAGAACAATGTTGGAAGAGGGATCAATGTTGCCTTGGTAAATGGTAAGAATAATTACTTCAGCTTCTGGATATATTCAGTGGGTATTCATATAATCCAACATAAAATATACTCTAATATCAAGGGATCAAGTCAGAAAGTGCCCCTCTTGACACTAAATCCCTACCCCCTTCCTCACTGCCCCTAAAAAAGCATCCAGCTGTAAGTGGAGACTTCATGTCTGAGTACTTAATAGCACTCTTTCTTGGAAGCGTTCAGCTTCTGTGCAGCATGTGCGGAGCCTTCCATGGGCTCTTGCTGCAGACTTTGGAATCCTAACGTGTGAAGACAGATGGACACGAATCAGAGGGTGTAAAAGTCAAAGGGTAATGGATAGTGGATGGGGTAGGGAGGAATGAAGAGGAAGAATTAATTGTATTTTTTCACTATTTGTCCACATTCTTCTGACAAGTTCATTATAGTAAATAAGTTTATTGAACGCTGAACATTTGGAATGTCCTTGCAAAATCAAGTCTGAAGATAGAAACCGATGAAATGAGGTCTGATTGCATGCTGGTCCTCTGTTTCTGGTATAACTGCCCCTGTAAAGCTGTAGAGGGTGATTAAAACCACAGCCACCTTATCCGGTCCCTACTGTAGGAAAATAGTTTATACTTCTTTCATAAGAGTTACATTTTTATGTTTCTACTTTCATCAATTTCTTAGGTAAAAGTTTCCATACCTATTTGTCCATTGAATTATTAATAAACAATAGATTTTAAAAAGGAAGTAAATGAAGGTTTTATAAAGAGATATCTAAAATGTCTAACTTTGAATTGGAATTGTCTGTAGTTATTGGTGAATTTCTGTTTGCTGCTTTTTGGCTTACAAGACTATTGAGAAAGTCCAATCCAAAAACTACCCTTTAGAATTATAATGTAGATGCCTAAAGTTCAAATTTTAATTCTTTCTCAAGGTAATTTACATCAGTCATTGACTAAGAATATTTGCTTTATACAATGTAGAGTATATTTCATTCAGTTGCATAATTTGATATGAATTCAATCTCTTTTAGGAAAAACAGGAGAAGTATTAGACACTAAATATTTTGACATGTGGGGAGGAGGTAAGTTTAAATAACAAGTGACCATTTTGTTGCTAGCACTGACTTCTTAATCACCTCAGTATAATGTAGCTCATTAATAAAAGCATAATGGCACCATTTGTTTTTTAAAGCTGCACCTGAGGATATGTTCTCACTGATATTTATAGAGGGAGGAGAGAGAGAGAGAAACATCGATTGGTTGCCTCCTGTACGTGCCTCAACCAGGGATGGAACCCACAACCTGGGTATGTGGCCCTGATTGGGAACCAAACCCACAGCCCTTTGGCACACAGGATGGTGCTCCAATCATCGCCGCCACCCGGCCTAATGACACCATGTTTTGTGTTCATTTTGTATTTCTTCCTTTTCATTAAGTGCCCAACTATATTTAAGTGATCAGTCATATTGTATACAGTTTTTTAAATTAAAATTGTGATGAATCATTAAGAATAATGATATAAAAATTGAGATTTTAAAAATCAGTTCTAGTTTCTACAAAACAACTAATTCAAAGTTTTGGGCTCCTTTAAGTTTCTGTCTGAAATTAAAAAAGAAAAATAAGTAATTTAAAGATGGGTATAACCAAGCATTTTGAACTGACTGAATTGATTTCTTATGATTTTTTTCTCTCAAAAACAAGTCATAACCTGGATTATTATTAAAGTAGATGTATGTCTGCGGGAAGGAATAAAATTTTCTTTTTTTTTTTTTTTTTTTTATCCTCACCCAAGGACATTTTTCCATTTTTTGTTCAGATAGAGCGGGAGAGAGAGAGAGAAACATCGATGTGAAGGGACACATCGAGTGGCTGCCACCCGCACGACCAACCAGGGCCGGGGACAAACTGCAACCAAGGTACGTGCCCTTAGCGGGAACCGAACCCGGGTCTCTCCGGACTGCAGGCTGACGCTCCAACCGCTGAGCCAAACCGGCCAGAGCAGGAATATAATTTTCTTTCCAGTTCGCTGGACAGATGTCTTTTGTATTTGGAAGTTCCTTGAGTAGCAGGTGGAAGTCACCAGCAGGCAGAGACAAGGAACTGCCACCTTGATGAAGAATGCTGCCTCTTCCCCCAAAGAGATTTCTTTCTCAACTTTGAGGGAAAATCAACACTGATTTATCTTTTGATTCTTCTCTAAGTTGTGGGTATGAGAAATTTATCAGCATGAGGCTGCTCCTTTGCATCTCCCCATCCATCCTCTTAACATATTGCCAAGAAGCCAACATTTGTGAGATTCCTGATATGTGTTGGGTTTTCAGACAATTCAGCTTTTCTAATATTTCTAAGAAGCTTTAACAAGATGCCACATATTCTTTTTAAATGAGATTAGGAGAACTTTTCATAGCTGTCAAAACTCTATAAACTTAAAATGCTACCATTGATGTTAGATTCTAAAGCATAATTGATCTTACCATGAATTATTACATAGAAACACTCTAACAAAATGTTGTTGAAAGCAGTCATGTGACCACAAGCTGTGGCATGTCATCACAAGTAGATTCATTACTGCTGAAAATACTCCTCCAGTTGAATAATTGCATGTTACTGCCATTTTTTCATTTAAATGATTTTTTAGCTACTCTACATATTTTTGGGATAAAAAGTGCTATTGTAAAATATAGTCAGCTAGAGAAAATCTTAGGAATCTTTGCTATGGAAAGAATCAGTAAATTTGAAGTAATACAACCTACGTTCTTTCTATTTGTTTATAGTAAGTACATATGTCCAGAAGATCTCTTAATTCTGTGTGTGTGTGTGTGTGTGTGTGTGTGTGTGTGTGTGTGTATACACACACTGGTATAATTTTTAAAAATTACAAATCCTTTTGTGAATTGAATAAAATTTGTGTATGCTCCTTTTAGAAAAATACCCATACAAACAAATTTATATGCACTGAGGGGGTTCATGAGCCTTTCTCATGCTGCTGGGGTTCTTACTTTAAATCACAAGTAATGCTTTAATGAAACTTTGCTATGGGATTTTCATTTAGCTCCTGGAATATCTGTACAAAAGACACATAGGATGAATCAGGATTGGAAATTTTAAGTTAACAGTGGGATCATACTAAGGAAAAAACTAAATTTTTTAAAATGTTTACAGGATTTATTTTTCTTTGGGTTACATTAGAACTTATTAATTTACAAATTTAATATATTAACTTTACAGATTATAATGATGGTTACTCAGCCATTTGAAACAAAACAAAACAAAAAAAACCAAAAACCCCAATCTTTTCTTTTTCTTCAGATGTGGCCCCGTTTATTGAGTTTCTGAAGTCTATACAGGATGGAACAATAGTCTTAATGGGAACATACGATGATGGAGCTACCAAGTATGTAAACTTAAAAAGCTGTACAACTTTTTTGAGCTATAATTTATAAGTATAAAAGTAGTACATTTTATTGAAAAAATTTTCTAAAATACAACAGAGTTCAAGATAAACATTAACATTTTTTAAATTTGTTTCCTTCTGTCTTTCTATGTATTCATTATGCATATGTTATTGTGATAGTAGCATCACGTGTACATAAAGTTTGTTCTATTGTTTTTTAACAACTTTAAATTGTTTTTCCTGATATTAATATATATTTTTATTTAATTCGTTTATTTTTGTTACAGATGTTTCTCCTTTTTCCCCCATTGGCACCCTCCTCCCGTTACCCCCCACCCCCCAGCATTGTTGTCTATGTCTATTGGTTATGCTTATATGCATAACTTCTTTGGTTTATCTCTTCCCTCACCCCTGCCCCCTCCTCTGAAGTTAGTCTGTCTGAATCCTACTTCTCTGTCTCTGGATCTATTTTGTTCATCACCTTATTTTGTTCATTATATTCCACAAATAAGTAAGATCATGCGATACTTGTCTTTCTCTGACTGGCTTATTTTACTTAGCATAATACTCTCCAGGTCCCTCCATGTCGTCTCAAAGGATAAGAGATCTTATAGCTACGTAATATTCTATTGCGTATATGTACCACAGCTTTTTTATCCACTCATCTATTGATGGATACCTCTAGATCTTAGCAATTGTAAATAGTGCTGCTATGAACATAGGAGTACATATATTCTTTCTGATTAGTGTTTCAGGCTTGTTGGGATATATTCCTAGAATGGGATCACTGGGTCAAGCAGCAGTTCCATTTTTAATTTTTTGAGGAAGCATCATACTATTTTTCATAGTGGCTGCACCTGTCTACATTCCCACCAGCAGTTTACTAGAGTCCCCTTTTCTCTACACCCTTGCCAGGACTTGTTGTTTGATGATTTGTTGATGGCAGCCATTCTGGCAGGTGTAAAGTGATACATCATTGTCATTTTAATTTACATCTCTCTGATGATTAGTAACATTGAGCACTTTTTCATATGTCTCTTGGCCATTTGTATGTCCTCTTTGAATTGTTTGTCCTTCTTTTGTTGAGTTGTATGAGTGCTCTATATATTTTGTACCCTTTCCATTTTGATGGTTGTTTCTTTTGCTGTGCAGAAGCTTTTGAGTTTGATGTAGTCCCATGTTCATTTTTGTTTGTTTGTTTCTGTTGCCTTAGGTGATATATCAGTGAAAATTCTGCTGCATGTGTCTGAAATTTTGTTGCCTACATTTTCTTCTAGGATTTTTATGGATCCACGAATCACATTTAAGTGTTTTATCCATTTTGAGTTTATTCTTGTATATGGTATAAGTTGGTGGTCTAGTTTCATTTTCTTGCATGTGATTTTCTAATTTTCCCAACACCATTTATTGAAGAAACTCTTTACTCCTTTGTGACATTTGTGAAATATTAATTGAGTATGTCTTGGGTCAATTTCTGTGTTCTCTGCTCTGTTCCATTGATCTATATGCCAGTTCTTTTGCCAGTAGCAGGCTGTTTTAAATAGAGTGGCTTTGTAGTATAACCTGATATTCGGTATTGTGATCTCTCTAACTTTGTTCTTCTTTTTCAAGATTGTTGTGGCTATTTGGGGTCTATTTGGGTTCAATATAAATTTTTGGAGTTTTTGTTCTAGATTAATGAAATATGCCTTTGGTAATTTAATAGGGATTGCATTGAGTCCATAGATTGCTTTGGGTAGTATGGACATTTTAATAATGTTGATTCTTCCAATCCATGAACATGGTATATGCTTCCATTTTTTAATATCTTTCTCTATTTCTTTTTTCAATGTCCTGTAGTTTTCTGAGAACAGGTCTTTTACCTCCTTAGTTAAATTTATTCCTAGGAATCTTAATTCTTTATTGTAATGGTAAATGGGATTTTATTTTTTTAGTTTCCCTTTCTGAGTATTCATTATTGGTGCATAAGAATGCCATTGATTTCTGGATGTTACTTTTGTATCCTGCTATTTTGCTGCTATTAAATCTAGTAAGTTTTTGGTGGAATCTCTGGGGTTCTGTATATGCAATATTGTGTCATCTGCAAATAATGACAGTTTTGCTTCCTCCTTTTCAGTGTGGATGCCTTTTATTTTTTCTCATTTTCTGATCACCATGGTTAAGACTTCCAGTACTATTTTGAATAAAAGTGGTGACAATGGAAATCCTTATCTTGTTAGTGATCTTAACGGAAACAATTTTAGTGTTTTCCTATTGAGTATCATGTTGACCATAGATTTGTCATATATAGCCTTTATTAAGTTGAGGTATGATCCCTCTATTTCACTTGGGTCAATTTTTTATCAAAAATGGGTGCTGGATTAAATGTTTTTTCTGCATCTATCAATATGGTCATATGATTTTTTTTCTTTCATTTTATGTGATCTATCATATTAATTGATTTGCAGATATTATACTTATAGTGCATCTCTGGTATGGTGAATACTTTTTTTTCCCACTGATACTTTAATTTTTTTTAGATAGTGGAAAGGAGGAAGGGGAGGAGAGAGAGAGAGAGAGAGAGAGAGAGAGAGAGAGAGAGAAGAGAGAAGAGAGATCGAGATATCGAGATATCAATTGGTGCCTTCCACACAGCCCTGGTCAGGGCCTGGGAAATCTGCAATCCAGGAATGTGCCCTTAACCGGAATCAAACTTGCAGCCCTTCAGTCTAGGGACCAATGCTGTAACTACTGAGTCAAACTAGCAGAAGCTTTTTAATTTGTGGTACTACATTGCTGGATTCATTTTGCTAATATTTTGTTAAAGATTTTGGTATCTATATTTATTAGGGATACTGATCTCTAATTTCCTTTCTTTATAGTGTGTTTATCTGGTTTTGGAATTAGGATAATGCTGACCTCATAAAACAAGCTTGGAAATCTTCCTTGGAGGATAGGCGTTTATTCTTCATTGGATGTTTGGTAAAACTCCCCTGTGAGGCTGTCTGGTCCAGGACTTTTTTTGCTGGGAGTCTTTAGTTTACTGCTTCAATTCCATTAGTTGTTATGGATTTATTCAGATTTTCTGAGTCTTCCTGGTTGAGTTTTGAAGATTGTACATTTCTAGGAATTTGTCCACTTTACCCAGGTTGGCCAATTTGTTCACATTACAGTTGTTTGTAATATTTTCTTATAATCCATTGTATTTCTGACATGTCATTTGTTACTTCTCCTCTTTGATTTCTGATTACATTTATTTGGGTCTCTAGCATGATTAGTCATGCTAGACATTCATCAGTCTTGTTTATGTTTTCAAAGAACCAACTCTTGGTTTCATTGATCTTTTGTATTGGTTTTGTTTTTAGTCTCTATGTCATTTATTTCCACTCTGATTTTTATTATTTCCTTCCTTCTGCTTACTCTGGTCTTTTCTTGTTTTTTTTCTAATTCTTTTAGTTGTAGGGTTAGATAGTTTATTAAACTTTTTTTTTTGTTTGTTTCCTGAGGTAGGCCTCTAGTTCCATGAACTACCCTCTCACAACTGGTTTTGCTGTGTCCCATAGATTTTGTGTTGTGTGTTTATTTTCATTTGTTTCCAGGAGGTTTTTTTATTTCTTCCTTTATCTCAATGGTAATCTATTTATTGTTTAATAACATACTATTTAGCCTTCATGTGTTTGAGTGTTTTTATTGTAGTTGATTTGTAGTTTCATGCCATTGTGATCTGAGAAGATGCTTGATGTAATTTGTTTTCTTGAACTTGTGGAGACTCAGTTTGTGTCTTAACATGTTGTCTGTCTTTGAGAATGTCCCATGTGTGCTTGAAAGAATGTGTACTCTGCAGCTTTGGGCTGAAATATTCTGTAAATATCATTTAAATCCATCTAATGTAGTGTGTCACATAGGGTCACTGTTTCCTTGTTGATTTTTTTTATCTGGGGTATCTATCCAAGTGATGTCAGTTGGTTGTTAATTGCCCTGCTATGACTGTATTACCGTTGATTTCTCCCTTACAGTCCTACAATAGTTTTTATTTAAATATATTTAGATGCTTCTATATTGGGTGCACATATGTTTACCAGGGTTATATCTTCCTGTTGCTCCATCCTTTTAGTATTATATAGTTCCCATTTTTGTTTCTTGTTATGGCCTTTGCTTTGAAGTTTGTTTTGTTAGATGGAAATATTGCTACTTCTGGTTTTGTTTTGTTTTTCATTTCCATTTGCATGGAACATTTTTTTCAATCCCTTTGTTTTTATCCTATGTGAGTCTTTTGTTCTGAAGTGGGTCTCTTGTGGACAGCTTATGTATGAGTCATATTTTCTGATCCATTCAGCTATCCTGTGTCTTTTGATTGGAGCATTTAATCCATTTACATTTACAGTTGTTATTGATTGATACTTATTTATTGCCATTTTAATTCTTTATGCCTATGTTTCTCTATATATATGTCTTCTAATTATTAAAGTAGTCCTTTTAATATTTCTTGCAATGCTGGTTTTGTGGTAAAAAACTCCTTTAGCCTATTTTTGGCTGTGAAGCTCTTTATTTCAACTTCTGTTTTGAATGATACTCTTGCTGGATAAAGTAGTCTTGGTTTCAGGCCCTTGCTTTTTATTACCTTGAACATTTCATGCCACCCCCTTCAAGCCTGTAGAGTTTCTGTTGAGAAATCAGCTCACAGCACTATGTAGGTAACAAATTGTTACCTACCTCCTTTGTAGGTAACAAATTGCTTTTCTCTTGCTACTGTTAAGATTCTCTGTCTTTAATTTTTATCATTTTACTTATGTGTCTTGGCATGAGCCTCTTTGGGTTCTTCTTCCTATGGATTCTCTGTGCTTCCTGACCTTGTATCACTTTTCCATCACCAGGTTAGATAAATTTTCTGCCATTATTTCTTTAAACAGATTCCCCATCCCTTGCTCATTTCCTTCTTCTTCTCTTGCTCCTATGATGAGGATATTGTTAATGTTTTATGTTGTCCCACACCTCCCTTAAACTGCCCTCCTGTTTTTTAA